GATTCCTTGGGTGAGCCCAGTACCAGAGTGTCAAATATTGCCTCTGCATTTATGGTAGCCTCAGTAGATGGCCCTAGACAGGCTTTAGGGACACTACTTGTGGATCAGGCGATGATGAAGTCACCACACCAGTCAAGCTGAGAAATTTCCCACATTGTCTAATTAATCTAACTTGGAAGGCTCAATGAAGTCTGATGTCATCAAAAGGCGCAAATATCTTCTTGACGTTGCTGTAAAAGGGTACAGCACATTTACGTCACTTGGATGAATGATAAAGAAGCACAATCAACCTCTCTTTGTCTCTTGTTCTATTCTGCACATGGTATTATTCCTGTGATTCATCTAACGTTGTTTTTGTATCTGACACTTCTAGTGACACTAACAGGTGTTCTCAAACATTTCATTCCACATGCCTCAATTTTCTTCTTCTGTGTTTTGATCAGTATCTATATTTCATTTAAAAAGTTTGCACACAACCTTGTATTTTGTGAATTTATAAATCTGCTTATTCCTACATATTAGTTTCTCTGCTTTGTACATAACACATTTGTTTTTGTGGGTGTTTCTTTGAGCCTGCTTATTGCTACATTTGTTAGTTTGTCTTCATTATTATCATCTTCTGAGTGACGGCTGACTGACTTTCTACCCCACCAGGACATCACACAAGTGATTAACACCCGATGACACAAAGTGCCACCATGTGGGTGAGGATTACTGTGGAGAGGTCCCAGAAACCGCGTTCAGACAATTGGCCATATTTATGGCCTGCCTGTATTGCGGCCCACTGACAAAAGCCAGGGTGGGGCTTCAAATAACAAAAAAATTTCATCCTTAAAAGGATGAAACACTTAGTGCTAGGTGGGCAGATATATTATCATCTTCTTATCCTGTCACTCTATGCTCTCCTGTTTTCAGTATCTCACTTTATATCATAAGTCTGAACTCTAATTTTGTTGCATGTCTATGTGGAACAGTTGTTTCTTGGACATCTTTATATCCCTGGGTATTGTGTACATCTTTATATCCCTGGGTATTGTGTACATCTTTATATCATTGGGTATTGCCTCTTTTTATTTCAATAGTAGACTTCCAGCCCACTCTTTGACAACTGCAACAGACTCCTATGCTTTTAAAAAAATAATAAAAATGCTTATATATGTGAGTTAAAAAAGTTAGTTGTAAATTCTTTACAGGACGTTGCAGAACCAACCCGAGCATCTTTGGCTGTTGTGGTTTTCTAGGCAAATTATACATTCAGTAGTTTGCCATTGTGTCTGAACGGTCAGCTCTCAGTACCACATATATTTGAGTGCATGTGTGTATACACACATATATATATAAATATATATATATATATATATATATATATACACACACACACACATATATATATGTATATATATATATATGTGTGTGTGTATGTGTATGCATACACATATATATGTATGTATATATATATATACACACACACACACACACATACATATATATATATATATATATATTGTATGTTCCACTTTGTCTGATTGTCTCATTATTTTCACCATGAATTCCTCAGATACTTTAATGATGATGATGATGAAGAGGTGAAGCCAGCAGATCCCTACCAAAAAGCAGCTGATAGCCCTGCTGACAGTGATGACAGTGATGACCCACTGGATGCTTTTATGGCAGACATTGAGGTATGTTGCTTTTTACCTAAGTCAGGACAAGATGAAGCAGTGAAACATCTGAGCAGAATAAATGTTTGTTTGTTATATTCTGCCTTTCATTCCTCCACGGAACACTGGTGTTCAGTCAGGTTATCCTATCTCTTGCTATCTTGTTCAACTCACTCCATGTCCTCTCCATATTTTTAACCTCACTCTCTAATTCTCATCTTACATGTGGCATTTAGGCACTGAAACATGATTACTCACCATTGTATTTAGAAGTAACCTTTGATCCAAGTCTTACATGGAGAAAACAGATAGAAAAGAATTAGAGCAAGGGACTCTAGAAAACCCAACTGATAAGGAAGTTACTGGAACAGAGTCAGGGGGGGGGGGGGGGGGGGGGGGCAAACTTCAGTGTCCTCAAGAGGACCAAAAGGCTGTGTGAGGCTAACACTAGAATATGGTATAGCTGCTTGGGGCACAGCAGCTAAATCAAATTTTCAGAAAATCTTAAAGATCCAAAACCATGCCGTATTATGACAGGGGTCATATGCTCCATGCCCATATCAGATATGGAAACAATTACTGGTCTCCATGCTCTGGAAGATAGGAGAGACACAAAGCTCCTCACTCAGCTCTCAAAATACCACCATTTGAAAGAACCCATGCACAGTCGACTGCAGAAACCCTAAAGGGAACAAGTTTAATTAAAAATGCAAATGTCAAGCTTGCTGACCTCAAACTCCCTCACATAGTGCCAAATGCTCACTGAAACCTTACAACCACTGCCCCTCCCCCCCCCTCCCCCTTTGGCTTAGAGATAACAAACAGTCAAAGCCACTGTAACATGGATCTCCTCCAAATCATCAGTCAGCAGCACTAATATGAAGTCAGTTATAGAAGGAGAGATCAATAGACTTTATCCACACCAGACCTGGATTAGAGTGTATACCCACTAGTGCAGCACCAGCCAATTTGTCTTTCTGTTTATTTCTCAACACACCTGCATACCCAGAGAAAAGATGCAAAGGACTAACTACTGGGGACCACTGAAGTGATGCTTGCCACTCACCTGCTTTATGCATCTGTTACAATTATAATACCTGTGTGGAGCTAGTTTTCAAGCCAGTGGATAGCTGCTGTAACTACCTCTTCTTTCATTATCTAGATTTTGGGAGATCATATCCTAGGCCTTGTTGCACTATTTAGCTTTTGCAATGAACCCCGATACATTTATTCTGCTTTCGAAACAGAGCCATCTTTGTCAATAATTACCTCACCTGTGAATAAACTGCGATCAATCAGTTGATGAATTTCTGATTCTGCAGTGCCTGCTGGTGATTTTTAAAGAGGCAAAGGTTAAAGACTGCTTATCACAAACATCAGAAAGAGTTAGTTAGTTGCGTATCCTTTACAGGACATTGCAGAACCAACCCTAGCATTGTTTGGCTGTTGTGGTTTTTCTGGGCAAATTTACGTCCAGTAGCTTGGTATTGCTTTCTGGACGGTCGGCTTCTTGATACCACTGTTGAAACCAACACAAGGCCTGCAACTGGGATCAAACCCAGCACCCCGGCATTATGAAGCGTGTGGGTAACGCCTAGGTCATAAACGTCTACATCAGGAAGAGACAGTCATCATTCTTTGGTCATATTATGAGAAGGAAACTGGGAATGTTGTGACCACTGGAAATATCTGGGAAGAGAGGCAGAGGAAGACAGCATGAGAAGACTCTTGACCGCCTTTTGTCATTGCATGTGGTGGTGTCAGCACACAAACTGATAAATGCTGTTGAAGATCACAGATTGTGGAGAGTTATGGTTGCCGATATCAGTCAGCAAGGCACTTGATGGTGATATTGATTTATCGATCAGTTCTTGCTGCTGATGTGAAAATTTACCCCGTAAATTTAAATTGACTTGTTTATTTGATATTTACTTTTATTGATATAATTTCTGTTTCTCTGCCTGTCATTTTATTTTCTTTCTTTTTGATGCTTATTTTTATATTATATTTCTCACACTTGTTATTGGCTTGATTAAAAATGATTCTGAAGACTTTTCTGTTTCAGCTAATTATACTTGGTCTTCTGCAAATAACAGTTCCAAAATTTCTTCTTCTGCATACAACAGTATATTTCTAGTTTGGTACTAATATGAATTTTCATTGACTTCCACAGATTTCCTACGCAAATGAAAGCTCACTACTCTTTCCTTTTACATTCATGTCTTTATACCTCTGTTTCTCCATCTTTGTCTACATGCACCCTATAAGTAGTTGTTGTTTGTTTGCGTTCACTAGCTGTAAACTCCGGTGGAAAGTCCTGGTTGTTCATCCATTCATGGACTTTGGCTTTGTTCCTGGACCTGAGTGTTGCCTGTGCATCTGTTTGACAAATCTGACTAATTTGTCTGCAGACTGTTGGTTCCTTGCCTCTCAGGCAGATGCACTTCGACTTTGAAGGAAGCTCCCAGTCAGTCGGCTCTCACGACATGCTTTTGGGTAGGCAGTGGGTCTATTCTTGTTTTCCCTATAACAGGGCCCTGGAACCCACACGGGGAACCCTATAATTAGATGTATGGTTCCACATCTTGAAGGGAGTTTGTATTGAAAAAACATTGACATTATATATTTACAGTATAATTGTTCAGCTTAATTAGCTTGCAGCAGTCTTAGTTTTTGTAGCACTAGAAAATCTCTGAAAGTCAATGAAATTTAAAATTAGTTTTAAACTTAAAATGTTAGCTCAAATTTCAAACCACTACTGCTGTATAGAGCTGAAACTTGGAGAAAAACGAAATCAGCTACTAATAAACTACAAACATTTATTTTGCCTTCGCACAATAGAATGAATAAATTTGGCATGATAGAACCACTAATGTGGAGGTTTAGGAGAGATCTAAGCTAATTCCAGTGAATCCAGAGGTGTCTAATAAATCACACACACTGGCATTAGACAAGACATATGTTGAGAAAACATGAGAACAGTATAACTAGCTTGTCTTTACATTGGAATACACAGTGGCATAGAAATTAAGGCAGACCAAAAACATCTGGTAAAGAGAACTAGAGGTTGAAAATTAAAAAGATTACAATCACATAAGAGCCGTATACAATAGTAAAGGATAGGATGACTTGGCTTGAGTTGATTGAGGGTCTTTGCTCCATTAGTGGGGGGCAGCAGATGTTACAGAATAATTAATTTGCTAATAATACTTTGCCACACAGTATATTTTTCATGAGCCATTTTTTGTTTGTTGTAAAATGATGTCCAATGATAAAAGAAATTAAAATATATGATATTTGAAGTGCTACTTGATGCTTGCAATTTTGTTTCTGTTTCAGAAAGAAATTGTTGCAGATACAAAAGAGCGCATAATAACTGTGGAAGAAAAATTAAAAGAGAAGTAAATAATTGAAATGTGTTACCGTACTGGGCATAGTAGATTTCTGTGAAATATTTTTGTGTCTTGGGTAAAAACAAGCATCACAAGTTTTCTCAGTGCTCAGTTTTCAAAGACCCAGATAGCTAGAACACACTTGTAGGATGCTATAAACTTTTCAAGAGTCCCTAAGGACATCCTCTGTGGAAATTTACATGTGGGTAGAAGATATCAAGGTTGGCGTCTACTACAATATAAAGGTGTGTGCAAGCGGGAAATGAATGATACAGGTGCTGAGGAGGAATTGTGGGAACAGAATGCCAGAGACTGTATAGCAGAGAGGGTAAAGGACATACATCCAACATAACAGATTAAACAGGACTCTTGTTTTATGTGAAAAACAACAAAAATTAATTAAATAGACAATTATCATCAAGTTTTTCTAACATATCCCTGATTATTTCATACGTGTCTGTGTGTGACTTTTTTAGAAGTATGTGTGTATGTATAACTTTTTTTCTCCCCTGGTATGTTGTTGTCTCTGATGTGTTTTTTGGGGGACAGAGAAATATAGTAAACGCATGTTAATTAAAATTTTTTTTTTTTTTTTTAAATAACAATTAAATTGTACCAAGATATATTACTGATTGGGCATTGCAATTTGTTCACAGAGGAACTAGGGATGACATTGATAATGAAGATGTGCAAGAATCTTATTTTCGTTACATGGAAGAAAATCCAAATGCTGGAGTGGTTAACGAGGAGGAAGACATAATTGATTATGACAGTGATGGGAATCCAATCTTAGAACGCAAAAAGGTAAGAAAAACTACATTTTTGCACCTCTTATTTTATTTATAAGTTGGAATCAGTTTATATTACATGGACAAGTATCTTATGTTATTTTACATTGTGTGTGTATGTGTGCGTGCATGTGTATGCAAGAGCAAGGCATACTTAAAAAAAAAAAACACTTATTCCTTAATAAAATATATTGCATCCCTGATAGAAATAGGAAGAAAGCAGCAGAACCTAAATACCCACAACAGACTAGAAAAAAAAAATTAGTAACCATGGAAATTAAATGGGACTAGTTATCAATCAAGATAAGACAGAATACATGATAATAACTAGACAGAGAATGGATATAAACTCTGACCACATACAAGTCGATAATATGAAAATCAAACGAACAGAAACATATAAGTACTTGAATGCAAACTTCAACTGTTCCAACATGCTGAGAGAAGAAAAAGTCTAGAATACAATCTGGAAATAAAGTATACTATGCCCTTCAACGTCTGCTAAAGTCAAAGTGTCTGTCTCGCAACACTAAGATCAAAATATATAAAACTTGGATAAGGCCAGTCGTTTTATATGGCTCTGAAACTTGGAGCACTACTAAAAGAGATGAGGTCTTATTATGACGAATCTTTGGACCCATCAAAGATGCAAATAGTGGTGAATGGAAAGTGAGAAGCAAAAACGAAATTTATAATCTGTTTAAGGCCATGTGCCGGTGTTCAAAACGTCAAATTTGGTTCAGGTCGACAATTTTTTGAAAAGTTAGTTTTTACACACTTTAGTATGTCTTCTGTTAGATTCAGTATTTGTTTTTGTCTAAAATATGTTATTTTAATGCAATATTAATATTTTACTGAGCTAACCCTAGCTGTGAAATTATTTGTTCATTTAAATTTGTTACAAAATTAGCAATGTTTCGCCCTTGGCAATGCTATATGCACAAGGAGATAGCTGTATGTATTATATATATATCGTTGAGACTGGAATTATGTCCCCTACACTATGTCTTCTGTTAGATTCAGTATTTGTTTTTGTCTAAAGTATGTTATTTTAATGCAATATTAATATTTTACTGAGCTAACCCTAGCTGTGAAATTATTTGTTCATTTAAATTTGTTAGAAAATTAGCTATGTTTCGCCCTTGGCAATGCTATATGCACAAGGAGATAGCTGTATGTATTATATATATCGTTGAGACTGGAATTATGTCCCCTACACTATTCAGCAGGAATCGCGATTGTGGAATTTTACATTTTCCATTCTCTGCCGATTCACTGGCCACTATAACTCTCCGGAAACTTTGATATATATGTGTAAACAGCGATTCCCGCTGGCTAAAACTAATCACGTGGGTGTCCGATTCTCAGAGATGGACGCTGTGCTTGTTTACCCAGAAAAGGCATGAGAGCTGTGAATCGAAAAAAACCTCGTTCTAAGAAATTTAAACCCCACTTAGCCGATCAGCGTAAGAAATCTTGAAGTCTACAATTGGCAAATGCTCTTAAGCAAAGAAAAGTCTACCAGAGCATCGTTAACATTCCAGAAAATTTGGAATGTGACACATCTAACATGCTTGTCGATGTTTCTAGCGTCGCTGGGATTTTGGCAATCAGTAATTCTATACCATTGTGTTCTAGTAATAGTTCTCAAAGTTGTAGAAGTGACACTGTTCTTGCAGAAAAAACCTGAAGCCAGTTTAAGAGGGATATGTATGAATATATGACCTCCTCTAGCAGCATGTGTTTCTGTTGATAAAAGTGGACATAAAAAACTGGAGATCAGTTGAGTAGTTGACTTTTGTGAAATTGACGAAATCATCAAAATATTTTGTTGTCCACTATGTAAAAATAGTGGTCTTATTTTGAAAACTGACAGCAAGAAAACTCAAGGATAAGCTGTGCTTGCAGAAGTTTACTGCTCTTGTTGTGAAGAAATAGTTACTGGAAGGTACCTAGCTTCAAGAAGTAATTATGTTGATAGGATCTTTTGTAATCAACAACCAGGTTGTTTATTCTGCATTAGTTTGTGGAATCGATGCCACCACGTTCAATAATTTTTGTGAAAGTACAAACCTGCAAGGTCTTGATCACAAAACATTTCACAACAAAGCAGATCTGGAGGACATGATTTTCTCTCAAACCGTGAAGTATTTTTGGCAAGTTCATGCACATCAGGCAGCATTACTCTACATGACAGTGATGTATTGGATAATTACTGTCAGCTTTGATGGCACTTGGCTGACATCCTATATTGGGGTTGGCTGTGCAGTGGATGTTCTTACAGGACTTTACATGGATGTGCATGTTATGTCCACATATTGTCAGGTGTGATTCACTGGTAAGAGAGTTTCCAAATCTTAACCAGCTGAATTTGAAGGCAGACCATCTTCTAAACTGATAATAATTTCACAGGATCTGCTGAAATGATGGAGGTGGAGGCTGCACGAGTGCTGTGGCCCACCATGAGCTTCGTTATACATCAATACCTTCTGATGGTGATGCCAAAACATTTGCGGGACTTACCAAGATCAAACCTTATGGGGGAAAGAGGGGAAGGAGGGGAACATTCACACAGACAAAGAGGAATGCATCCACCATGTCAGTGTCTTGCAAGTCACTCTTTCATCTTCATCATCACCTCATATATGTTCACATGGACTGTATACCAGCGCCAGGCTAAAAAGTTAAACCACTTTCACACAGTCTGCCTTAGAAAAATACATATTAGGTGGCAAGACAAAGTACCTGATACCGTAGTCCTTGAGAAAGCAGCCATGCCCAGCATCCACACTATACTGATGCAGTATCATATTCGTTGGGCTGGTCATGTGGCACACCTGCCAGATCACAGGCTTCCAAAAAAACTCTTCTGTGGTGAGCTGCAAAATGGGAAACGTTCCCAAGGCGGGCAAAAGAAACACTTTAAGGACACCTTGAAGTCTTGACTCAGAGCATTTGGGATGATTGACACCAATTGGGAGGTTGCCTCTCAAGACCGAAATGCATGGCATGCAGTTCTACACAAGGGCGCGGCTCCATGTGAAGCAAACAGAACAGCAAGACTTATTAAGAAAAGGATGGACAGAAAGGCGACTGCAGGAGATCTCCTCCCTGGCACAATTTTCATTCCCTGTCCTCACTGTCCAAGAACTTTTCGGGCCCGCATCGGCCTCATCAGTCATCTTCTTACTCATACTTGATGAAAAAGAGTGGTCATCATCATCTTGATGGACAACACACAAACACTTTGCAAAGGCACTCCATAATGTTGTTGCTGACTGCCGAAAGCAAGGCGTGAGCCTTTGTGGACATGGTAAAGGTCAGCTTACACAAAATGCCATCCATAAGCTGACAGTTTATTACAACAGAAGATAAGAAACAACTCAAGTATAGTCCATGAGGAACAGTGTTATGGCTTCACTGCATCACTGTTTTTCAACAGACAAAACTCCAGGCTATGAAATGTGCCTAAGTGGAGAGCAATCTTGGTCTTTTTTCCTGTCCGCTCTGGCTAAGCACCAGTACCAGGGTCCTCATGACAAGATATTACACACATAGCTTAACCGTGACAAGCTACAAAAGTATATTTTGCCAATTTATGAAAGACTGTCTGACCCTAACCTTCTTAGTAGATGTGTTTTAGGAAAGGCTCAGAATTCAGATGATCCTGATCTGGGCCCGCTGTACTAAAGACACTTTTGCCTCACGCAAGCGCGTTTAGTTTGCAGTAGTAACTGCTGCAAGAGAGTTCAACTTTGGTGCTGTTGCTTCTCAAGACACTGTCCAGTTTTTTTTTGAATTTTCTACAAGCCTTCATATGAAGAGACTAGGAGTATCTAGGATGCAGAAGAGAGTTAGAAGTAGCTTGAAGTATAAGAAGGACAAGCAAACTAAGAGACACGACAGTGTACAAGCTGCCTAACTGAAGAGGCAAGATGAACTACATGCCCTAGAGAAGATGAACTACACGCCCTAGAGGGAGGTCCTGCATATCCAGCAGGATTGTTCTAATGATAATGTAATATCATAAACTGTTTTTTCTGAGTGAAATAACATGTTAAATCATAAAAATAATTTTGTTAGTATAATAACATATGCAAAATTTCCTTTTTCCTCCAATTTCTCATTTTAGCAGTTTCTCGGCTTACAATATATTTTTCTCAAAAACTGCTTGTCTGATTATAATGAAACTTTGTACACCTATTTAACATTGTATTACGTATGCAAATACGAGAACGTTTGTGAAACTAAGGTTGAGTTTTTGTGCAGCAGTCGGAAAGCCACAAACATTTTCTAAAAACAAATGCCAAATTTTAAAAACTAATTTGTAATGAAATGATAAATGATATCATAAAAACCTTCTGTACTTGTGTAAAGGAGCTAGCTATAAGTGTATAAAAATACAACAAAATTGAGCCTGTACATACAAAAATGTGGTTTTAAACCTATCCGAAGAAATCCAACATGGCCATTGTTTATCTTGGTTTCCATAGCAACTGTTGAGTGCACAGTCAGTTTGACAGTATTTTTTTTAAATCTGAGGTCTTTTATATAAAACCCTATACCATACCAGAACGTATAAATTAATAGTATACAATTTAGTTTTAAAAGGGAAGCATCGCCTTAAATCATCACTGATCACTGGCATCATGAGGGCTAATAGACTGAAATGGCTGGGGCATATTGAAAGAATGTCAGATGACAGAGAATTAAAAATGTATACACGAGTGAGATGAATGGTTGAAGACCACGAGGCAGACCAAGAAAACGATGGAGAGATAATATCCAATCAGACCTGCAATCACTTGGTGTCACCAACTGAAAAGAGAAGGCCAACCAGAGAGATGAATGGAGGTGGGTGATTTCTCCAGCAATGAACCTCAAGGGCTCGGAATGCTGAAGAAGAAGCAGATAGAAATTAGATGTCTGAAATTAGGAATAAGGTCAAACAGAACCAATTCTAAATTGCATACAGAAACAGAAAATGAAATGATTTGCCTGCTTGGAGAAATACCTTGTGACGCCATAACATACAAAGCCTTCACTGAAAGAGGGGAAAGATGTAAAGCATGACGTAGAAAGAACTCACTTTATTTCCAAAGGGTTACACAATGGGCACGCAGGCCTGTCTTACATTCAGTCCTTTCATACAATCATCTTTCAAACGGTAATTGTATTTTTTAAATCATTCATATTATGTTCATATGTCAAAATTCATAGCATGAATGTCAAGTAAAAAATACAAAAGCATGTATAGCAACTGCAAAACTTCTAATATACATGCAAAAATACACACAGTTAGGCATATGTACATACACAATCACACTTACATGGAAGTGCACACAAAATTATCTCCCTTGACATCAGACATGATGCGAGAGGAGATGAAGAAGAGGATAGAAGACCAAACGCTTTTAAAAAGAAAAAAGGTACGGCCACAGCAACTTAGAAATAATCCATACTAGTATGAGTGAATTTTCTGCTTTTAAACAAAATTTACAAAGATGAAATTAGAGAATTAACTATTGTACACTGCTGACTGTGTCAAGTTTTGTTCCGCTGGAAATATAATTAGACATAAGTAGTAAGGCAAATAAAGAACAAGTACACTTTCAATCAGAAAAGAATTTTGGCCATTGTATTTTTTATTACAGTACTGTAAAAGTTCAGTGCTTATTCAGGAAGATGATTAAAAAAAAAAGCAAAAATCATCACATTGTGATGACAAAATCTTGAAGTGGCATTCACTAAGGGAGATTTCACTATTCATGTTTGCACTGATTGTCATAGTGGCATAACAGTAAGGCTTCCTTATTTTTCAGATGTCATAAGAAAACAAATATGTTGAGAATTAACAGATTGCTTCTTAAAACTGAGTGAAAACTAAATAAATCATCTCTACCCCATTATATTTTAATACAGTAGTCCAAAGAAAATCTGTTAATTGAATGTAAAGCTAAGTTGCAGTCATTTGCTTTTTCTGTTAAAAAACTGTTGAGACCTTTAGGTGAAATGGGCACAGTACATGGGTTCACAACTTGGCTGAACATCTGGTTATGTGATGAGACCAGTGTGTTTGTTCCTGCAGATTGAAGTTCTGGAACAAGACTAACGTCCAGAATAGACAAACAAATAGGACTTTTTGCCAGATTTCATAGCTGGTGAATGCAAAAAAAAAAAAAAAAAAGAACAGCATATGTAGAAGTGCTAGATTAGTTATAATATGGCATCAGTAATGCTTTAAACGACACTAGAGATAATATTTCACACCCTATGTTTAGTTAGCAAAGCCATTGATAGATTACATCCTTTCCTTCCAAATCATAAACAGTACTACAATGTCATTTCTGGACTGTGTAGAATCAGTCTCTGACTTATCTGTGGAGGAATGAAGTCATTGTCTGTAGCTGCATGTGAAATAGCTACTGACATAAAGTCACTGGACATCAGATAACAGCACTTACTGAAGCTGTGGAAAGATACATGAGATAAGAGAAAGACCATCCAAACAGAACAATGATTGTTACTAAGAAACAAACACAAAGATTAAAACAAGTCTCCTTTGAATTTGGTTACAGAATAAATTAACATATATTATCTCCCAGAAATATATAAAAAACAAATTATATTAAAAACAAGAAATCATTTAAATATATTAACCACATTAAAAGACACGACTTTTAAAAACCTTTTTGGAGGGAAAGGTCGAGAGCAACAGGTAGACAGTGATACAAGTAGGAAGACAACATAAAAAAAAAGGACAAACAAGTCTGAGAGAGTGCAGAACCAAGACAAGAGACCAAGCATGTTAGAAATCCATTGCAACTAATCTTCAATTTGGAAACAGCAGTTGATTGATTGATCTCCCACAATAAAACAGAAATGTAGTAGACGATTTTCTGGGCCATAACTTTTGAGCTTCCAATTCCTAACGACAAAACTGTCATCAGTGACTCAACATAAGCAGCTGCTCAGTATCGACAAGCCTGGCAAACACAGATGTTTGGCATATAACCCTATCACCCTGAGAAGTTACAGAAGTGACACTTCCGGTGCATTCAGTTCCCCATATATGTCTCTTTTCTGATGTTTCTACAATAATGTGTTTACAAGAGGCATAGTTAATGCTGTTGGCTGAGTTCCCACCTGCACAACAGTTTAGAATGTTGAATTAGGAATCGACATCATAGCATTAGGGACACTCCCATAAGCACTCTGTCTCCATCTTCAGCAGCAAGCGAAAAATTCCATTTTCGATGGGAACAGTAACTGTCTGTATATCCGTCTTGCCTTTCCCTAGAGTGTTGAGCGTCCGCCAAATCCCCTGATAATGCTATGCAGCTCCATTCTCCTAAGACCATAATGATCTATTTGGGTCTCCGCCCTGTTCACTTGTTCCCAAAGGGCCCTAACCACATGTAACTTGTCATACATCAATTCACCACCAAATAGTGCAGAATCAGACAGTCTATCTGTCTGCCTGCTCATTTCCCAACACACCTGCATGACCTGGAGAATATATCCAAAGAATGCTGACTACCCGGGACCTCTGAAGTGATACTTGCCACTCTGCACGGAGCATGCCTGTCTTCACCTTTCTCAGTTACAATTACGACATGTGTGTACAGCTGATTCTTAATCGAGCGGAAGGCAGCAGTGACCTCCTCCACCTCTATTCTTAAACTAGATGTTGTTGTATCATATGCCACGCTTTGCTGCACTAAGTGACGTCCATTCACTTTTGCTATTAAACCCTATGCACTTTGTCCACCTCTTAACACAGAGCCATCTGTATAAATAATCACATCACTTGGGTTGGAATTGTCATGAATCATTTGGTTAACTTCTGATTCTGCCACGCTTTGCTTCACTAAGTGATATCCATTCACTTTTGCTATGAATGAACCCTTTGCACTTTGTCCGCCTCTCAACACAGAGCCATCTTTATAAATAAGCACATCACCTGGGTTGGAATTGTCATGAATCATTTGGTTTAACTTTTGATTCTGCAAAGGTATAGTTATATAGAAGAATAATGAGATCATCTTCAACGGATAAACAGGGATCTCTCACTTTGAAGTTGTCAAGCTGAAGGTTGTGGGTTTGCTTTATTTCAGTATCATTCAGTTTACAAGTGCAGGTTTTACAGAAATTCCTGGATAGTATCTCTAGAGTTGGTTTGTGCTTTAGCTGATGCTCTAGGTAGGCGGCTAGCCATTCAAAGTAAGACCGAGCCATATGAGATAAATTCAGAGCAGTGAAATTGATCCTGTCACGAAGTCAATCCTCTCACTTTTAACCTTCAAAAGGTAGAAAGTAAAATAAAGATATCTTTAAAGAAATTAACTCCCAACAAGAACTGACTACCTCGAGCTATAGGAGACAATTCACTTCTTTTGGGCATGTCATGAGAAGGGGAAAACTGGAGAACACTTGACAGTGTGACATTTAGAGTAGACTTTGGCTGAGGGGAAGGGGGTGGGCCACTGGACAGTTTAGCATTGTGGTATGAAAGCAAATCTGTATCATGAATGATTGACAGGGCATGAAACAAAAGGATTTGAACATATATGAATGCTAACATCTAATGGCGTGAACTGTAAGAAGTTTTTGATGTGGTTATTCATTGATTCCTTTTTTGAGTAGCTACTTCATAAAAATGTATTTCCTGGCTGATTGTAGCTTTAATGATATTGTTATTCTCTAATTTAAACAGGTGATTGACCCGCTTCCACCACTTGATCACTCCACAATAGAATACCAACCATTTGAGAGAAATTTTTATGCACCTCATGAAGAAATTGAATCATTGTCTGATGATCAGGTTGATGAACTCAGGAGAAAGCTGGGTATTAAGGTAGGAGAAGGCTTTAGTTTATAGCAATGCATACTTTTAAGTTTTATAGCACAAATGTTTATGTGCATGTAGATACATTTGTAAAAATAATATTGTGATAATAAATCATCTGTTGTTAGTGTAGCCTACAGAATGAGCTAATACTTTATTGAGAAATATCACTTCACTTGCAAAAGCAGTTATAATGCTGTTGTTTGCTAAACTCACTTTGCTGTTCAGTTGTACCAGACGTCAATGGCGTGATCGCCTACACTGGTTGTAAAGGCGCTGGCTGATAATGATCATGTCAGAGGTGAGTGCAAAAGGTCCATGTGGTTAAATTGGGAAACAGGGCTTTGAGATTAATGGCTAACAGCGATCTCCACGGGGATTGTGAGGCACAGGTGTGACTAGCAGGTGAAGACCCTGAGGGTTGGCAAGAATGTAAGATCCATGTCCAACCACGGATGAGAAGAGTCGCGGGGTAGTTGAATGAATCAGTCATTGTGACAGTGTGGAAGTATTTAGAGATGGGTGTGACTTTCTAATATTTATCAAGTTTTTTTTTTTTTCTGGTGAAAGCTTGGATTGTTAATTAGAATTTGGTGTATAATTCAGAATGCTCCAGTTAAGTGTATTTAATGTAGACAAGGTGTTGAGAACCTATTACTTTATATTATCAGACTGCGAGGGCGTAATCGTCCCTTGTCGGGTTCTTACTGTGACTGTTTCCTGCCTGTTCTGGAAACCTTCGAAGGCGTCAAAGGCAAAAGTGGCTGCATGTGACCATGTATCCTTTCTTGGCCGTTAACTTCCCAAAATTCCTGGAAGGAGCTTTCTGAGTCAATTACAATTACGATGTGTGTGTGTGTGTCCTGTTCTCTAGCCAGCGGAAAGCTGCAGTTAACGCCTCCACAACTGTTCTTAAGCTGGATGTTGTGGTATCATATGCTAGGCTCTCCTGCACCAAATGTCAGCCATTAACTTTTGCTAAGAAACCCCAAGCATTTCTTTTGCCTCTTGATACTGAACTGTCTGTGTAAATGATCAAATCCTCTGAGCGAGCATTATCTTGAATTATTGGTGAATTTCCACCTCTGTGGCACCTTCTGGCCAGTCTCTGCATTACCGGCTTAGTGTGATTATGACCCCACACAAGTCTGACTGTTCAGGTGGGACTTTGACCCACTCCTCTCCTCGCCTAATGTTTTCAAGGATCGCCGCAACGTCCTTTGTTTGTTTATTGTGATCTATTTTGTAAAGCTAACATAAACTAATTGTTGTTTCTTACCAATTTTTTCTCTTCCCTATAATTTTCTACTCCTTATAAAAACTTAACTGCACCCAGAGTTTTGGGTAAAGGGTGGTCTGTGTCTGCAGCTACCCTGAGATATGACTTCGCCTGCAGCACCTTGTGCCTACCTGCAACCGTCAGCAAACCAAGGATGTATCGCATACACACCACTGGGGTGTCTCTGGTGCAACCCAAAATGAATCGCACAGCTGCTTTCTGTATGCGCTCTAGTTTGTCCATCTGATTCTTTGAGATGGTAAGCAATCCCAGGCTATAATCAACCACTGACAGGATCAGGTGCTGATATAGTGTGAAAAGCATTATCTGCTCTATGTCAATTGCAGCCATAGTCTTAAGGGTATTAAGTCCTTTTTGGCGTCTTGTCACAACACTCTCTACATGGTCCTTAAAGGACAGGCTCCTGTCAAATGTAATTCCCAGATACATCAGTTTGCTCTCTCTGTTGGTGTTTCTATCATATATCATGAGACTTGGGACATTAGCTCTAACGATCCTGTTGTCTAGATGTTGTGTCGGGGGGTGATGTAACGTTCGTTGATTAGCTTTTTCAAAAGCACTGTTAAGACTGATGTTCATTTCTGTAAGGCTGTTCTTAGTGCCATCACTGCATATTTTCTGAGGTCTTCCACTTGCTCTATACTTGTAACGTTCTAGTATGGCTCGCTGTGGCAGATAGTACCAGGGCGTTCTTATTAAGTGTCCAAACCACTTCATTGTTATTCTTTGATGACTTTTTGGCTGGCAGGATAAAATTTATTTTAAAGTTCCTATTCATCAAACAGTAGGACTATCTTCCCACAATGGCATGGGTGAGTGGTAGATGGGAATATTGACCACTTAGTCCTTGTCCTTATTGATGACCAGGAAGTAGCTGCAGCGATATGGCTGGGTTGCAGGATGAACTGACACTTAGCTAAAGCTCCCTTATTTTGATAACCAGAAGGCACAACAGCAATGGTTTAGTTAGGTGGCAGGACAAACTGACTATGAACATGTCTCCCTACTTCCTGATAACTTGTATGCTCGGCAGCAATAGTATGACTAGGTGGCAGGACAAACTGACTATGAACATGTCTCCCTACTTCCTGATAACTTGTATGCTCGGCAGCAATAGTATGACTAGGTGGCAGGACAGACATGCATTTGTGTTGGTTGCATTGTAAATTTACTTGTCCATTATGCAAAAAGTAGCAGTGAAAGTTACAGAAAACATGATGCAGCAGAAGAGCCTGGGTGAACACGTATGGCTAGACAGAAATAATGAAGAAAGGTAAATGGAATTAGAGGAATGACCAAAATTTCAAGACAGATTGAATCTCCTCCATTCCATCAATCTATTGCAGGTTCTACAGTTATCAGATGCAGATTTTCTATATGCAGAGTGTGTTACGCCTGCCTCCTTCACATCTGCAATTATGCAGTTAAATTCAGCGATGCATACAAATGCCTGTAAGGCCAAAAATTAAACGGCTCCCACCTGAATTTATTGTATAAATTCAATTATTACACCAGAAATACTTACCACAGCTAGTAAATAATATCCTTGGTATTAAACTCGACTGCTTAAATCACTCTTACCTGTTTGAGCAGAAATCTCCTTCAGAACTACTTAACAAATTTACCTAACCTCGCAGCACAACTCAGTTCTGTGACCTGCACACAAATAACATTTTCACAGGCCCCAGCAACACGGGACAAGGCTGAGATCATGCCACTGTTTCCTGTCAGTACCCAGTGTTAGTCACGTATGTAGTACTTTTGATCTTGAGGGGTTTCTTCCTCAGCCTTTCTTTTTGATCAGTGATGTGTATGACACCACAAGTGTGTTCATGTGCGTGCATGCGGGAATACACACACATATGTATATACACATACACACTTGTATTATCATACCAACCATACAAACATTTGTGTCATACCGAACACTTATAAACTAGAAGGCTGAGAATATAACGAAGGAGCACCATGAAAATGTAATTATATTTTTTTGATTTGATTTAAAAAAGCAATTATTTTTATTTTGTTTGCTATAAAATATTTCTCCTATATTGTATATTGGAAGCAATGGTACTTACACAATTAATATCATTAAAATACCCGAACATCTGTAATGAAGTTTATATGTTTGGTTACTGAGAAGTCTGTTGAATTCTTAGGTTTCAGGTCTCTCTCCACCACATCCAGTTAGTAGCTTTGCACACTTTGGATTTGATGATTCTTTACTGAGTGCAGTTAGGAAATCAGAATATACACAGCCTACTCCGATTCAGGCACAGGTAGGTGTTTATTTTAATCCCACATTGTTAACTATTTTTAAATCCTTGTCTGATAAGTTCATATCTGAAAAATGGGATATTTGTCTTACAACCAAATTGGACTACAGATGAAAATGTAACTATTTAAATAATTGATCTGAAATGCAAACACATTAATGCTTACTTACCAAATGTTCTCTCTACCCCATTTTCTTGTAGAACATCTTAGAAATTCACTAGTTTGGCTAATCATGATCTTCACCCTAATGAAGCCTACTTATCACTGTATACTTTACCAACAGCAAGGCTGCAAGAGAGTCAGTCAGTTTCCCATGAACATTATACATAACCAGTCCCCTGCATGTTGCACACTTTCTTCTACTTCATTGTTCTTCCGAGAATCATAATTGTATCACACCTGTTTACAACATAGCTGTAATATTATCAACACATTTGTTTCCTGGGATAGCCTTTCTGGTTAGTTTATTTCGCATCTTGTATTAAACAGTTGTGAATATTTTCAGATGAAATAATTTTAGTGATAAAATTCATTCCCCACCAGTACATGATATTATCAACTTACACAAGATGTACATATGAATATGTTTGCAATTGCATGTTTCAAGAAAAAATAACAGTGTTTTAAAATCGGAAATATCCTGTTAAAAGCCAATAAAGAGACTTTCACATTGATCTAGGTTAAACCAGCAACTGGCCCGAGAAAGGTTTTTCCCAGAGAGCTGTGCTTTTAAAGTTTATTGTCTGATAAGGGGTGTTTAATTACTGGTATGGGAAAAAGGGGGGGGGGGGGAATTGTTAAGGCTGCATTATTACTATCAAGAAACTGTTGTAGGGAAAGAAATCATCAAAGTCGTGAGTATCATAATTTATCCTGTTTGTCTCTAAGGGCACAGCCAGTGATAAACAGAAAATCTAACACCCTAACATACTGATCATGTATTTACTATTAGCTCTGTGTGCTGCTGTTTTTCAGATATTATGTGATATGTTTAGTGTCGATGTCTGTTCCTTAGGTGTTGTGAATGTGGTTTGTCACTCTGAGATACCTCACTGGATTTCAGCTACAGGCGATTAGGCAGCAGATTGCTTTGTGTTAATTTTGACAATGGTATCAAGATCTGACTGTTCGGGAGGAATAACAAACAACTGAATGTAAAAATTCCCTAGTAAAACCCCAAAAGCCCACAAATGCTGTGGCTGGTTTGCAGCATCCTCTAAAGGATGCACTACCAATGTTTTGTGTGTGTGTTGAAAAGGTTAGTATTGGTTTTATTGTAAAAACTATACACATATCTCCTTTGTGTGTGCAGGGAATCCCTGTTGCTTTGAGTGGCAGAGACATGATTGGGATTGCAAAAACTGGCAGTGGTAAAACAGCAGCATTTATATGGCCTTTATTAATTCACATTATGGATCAGGTACTTTCCTATTTGTTTATTCACATCATTTTTTTAAACTAGCATGTTGTCCAAACTTGTAATTCTTCTTTCACGGTAGGAAATTGAAAATGGATCAGATCTACCTGCCTGTTATGGTGTTCATTATTGACAGTTCAGGTCCTAGAAAGTTGTTTCCCTTCACTTATGTGAGATGTCTATGAAACAGATAAATGAATATTGATGTTGGTCATACACATCTCTTCCAGTATGTGCCATATGATAATAGTAATGGTTTCTGATGATTACAAAAGATCTGTAATGAAAATTCTTGTTAATGTTACAAACTGAACAATTGGTATGCTAGAAACACAAGCATTGACTGATGGAAAGTATGCAATTGGGGTTCTTGTCCTGTTCAGTAAGAACAACAATGCTGTGCAAAGAAAAATAGATGACTTAGCAAATATCAAAAGTTGGACTTTTAACTTATTTATATAAAAAGCATGGCATCTTGAGGTTTTGTGCTGCAAGATGCAGCATAGTAAGAGAACAGTCAATAATTTAGAGACAGAAACTTTGTACACAAAAGAGGTGAATGGGAGTAGATCACAAGGTAGATAGTGAAGATGGTTGAAAGATAATATTCAGGCAAACCTACAAACATTTGCTATCACCAGTTAGAAAGAGAAGACCAATCACAGATTAATGGAGGTAGGTGATTGCTGAAAATAAACTCAAAGGCTGAAGAGGAAGAAGAAGAAAAACACTGAAGTCCTCAATTATAAATCACTAGACTGGATACTGTACAAGATATCAAAAAGCTGGTACAGGCTAGAACGAAATGGAGGAATCTGCTGTGGGGCCTATGTCACTTATAAACAGCACAGTCAGTCGGTCAGTCAGTAGTATGCCCCTTGAAGAACAAGCTTGCTCCCGTAACAACCCTGCGGAAAACTTCCCGATCACAAGCAAGATGTCCCGCGTCTGATACAACCAAAACAGCACGGTAAGATCAGGAAGATAATGAATTACTAATCATTCCTAATAGGAGCACCATTTATTTTTAAGAGAACAGTGATAATGATGAAGGATCTGTTTGTTGTGAAAAGCTAAGTTTTTACCATTCATTAACTTCAACATTTTAGTGAGTTCTGTTCTATGTATGTCTTTCACTTAGTATATCATTGACATATCTCACATCAGTACTGTTTTTTCAATCAGCAATAATCTATTCCTGCCTCTTTTATGGTGATTTTCTTGAGCATTCTATCAATATGCTCCAGTCCGGCTCAACTTAGTACAGTGGAACCTCGCTTAACGAGCATAATTCATTCCAGAATCATACTCGTTAAGCGAAAAATCTCATTATGCGAAACAATTTTTCTCATATAAATTAATGTAAAATACGATAATGCGTTCCATGTCGAAAAAGATACTCACAAAATGCTATGTGGAACGTTTAATCAAAGAAAATTATATACATATTGTTAAGGAGAGTGGATCACCTTTATCTTTTCTTCAAACGCGCAACGAACCCACAAGGAATGCGAATCCGATTTGCAGAAAAAAGTCGAAATAATTATGATACATAGCTAATTTTTTTTTTTTTTTTATAATAGAAAAATGTCCAGAGATTTGTTTTTGCAGACGTTCCAGAATTTGGCGAAAATGCGACACAGCATTATCATTAAATAAATTTGCAACGCGCATAGCCACTTTCTTATTAGGGCGATGCTTCTCAATGTAAGATGCAACAGTTTGCCATTCTTTCAGCATTTCTCTTATTTCGCCAGAAAATTGTTGCTTTTCTGTTACCTCCTCCTCTGGCAAACTTTCCTCCAAAACGCAGCTCTTGGCTGCGCTCTTCCACAATCTCTTTGATATCACTGTTATCCACCTACAACCCCATGATAGTGGCCAAAGACCCAATCTCGTTGACTACAGGTTTCACTGTCTCGAACCCCTCAAAGTCACAAAATGGAAAACACTCTCCGGCCAAAGCTTCTTCCAGGCAGAAGTTAAGATTGTCTTGGTAACCCCTTCTCCCGCCTTGTCGATCATCTTGAGGCAGGCAACGATGTGGACGTGATTTTTCTCTAAAACTCTTTGAGAGTGAGGTTGGTCCCTTCAGTCACCTGAAAACAATGCTTGAAAAGTGCTTTTGTGTAGAGTTTCTTAAAGTTAGAAATAACTTGCTTGTCCATGAGCTAGAGTAACGGAGTGGTGTTGGTAAGCAGAAATTGGATCTTGATGAACTTAAATTCTTTAAAGAGGTCATCTTGTAGGCCTGGAAGATTCATATACATATATCACAATATAACACAAGTTTGAGAAAATGTGTGATCACAAGTGACACTACGATGCTACTGGAATGAGTGCTAAACACAGACTGATGTAACATGCGCACAATTCGGGACTTCCCCTCTCCTCGCTACTCGTTATGCGAAACGTCGCTCGTTAAGCAAGTCATTTTTTTTTACAATTTGTTTTGCTCGTTATGCGAATTACTCGTTATGTGAGGTACTTGTTAAGCGAGGTTCTACTGTATTTAATCCTAGACCTGACTCCTTGTAGAATATCTCTGTCTTAATATTAATCTGTAGCTTAGCAAATATTAATCATAACTTGCATGTCATCATCATCATGTTTGTGGCAATGCTAAATCATATTCAGTTATTCATATTCAAATCTTGATAATGGTCTTGCAGATTGAAACGTTGAATTTTCAATGAATTTATTGCTGTAAACCTTAACAGAAATAAGATCTTTACTTGTTAATTCATCATTAGTCTTTATTTCCATAAATGAAATGTATAAAGTTTTTACAGATGTGTCAAATACTTTTGACTACTCTGTATGTCAGACACAGCTTGTCTGTTTTCTACCTGAAGCTTTTTGTTTTGTTTTTATTATCCACTGGTGAGCAAGATTCAACAGATTTTGAAACTCAGCAGTACTTTTATTGACAGGCAATACATATTTTAGTGGTTAGTTGCCAACATTAAAAACAGCATTAATTTAAAAAAAATTTTATTCTAGAGAGAACTGCAAAAAGGTGATGGTCCAATTGGTGTAATTTTGGCACCGACTCGTGAACTGTCTCAACAGGTAAATAAATCTTTGCATTCACAGGCAATTTTAGCATCATAAAAGTATAGTTCCAGCTGTCTATCAGACCCCTGTGTGTAAGGACAAATTTCTGTCTTAAAAATCAAAGCAATGTTTCCCCGTTGTTGTGAATGCAAATAAAGAAGACATAAACAATGGATTACACAATAATCAGGTTTTACTTTAGTATGTGTCAGACAAAATACAGTGAAAGGTTTTGCCATGCAATCACTTGTGCAATCTATCTTTTTAAGTCTAATATATGAGATAGACATTTATTAGAATTTAGACAAAATACTTGAAAAAATAGCATGATCATAATGTTGTCAGTCATTAACCCAGTCTCCCTTTCGCAAACATCCATAAATATGGTTCCCTATCCTTTTATTTGGGAGTAGCCGCAGTATTGGCGGCTAGATGCCCACCTGCGGACCAAAAGGTCATGGTTTGCATCCTGACGGAGCTGGACTTTTTTCAAAAATACTTTGCCTTCCAGGGTACCATGATACTTGAGTGGGTACCAGGTGCAGTCTTGGAAAGTAAAGGTGGCCCGCATGATGCTGACCACATCGCCCACCAGGTACCAATTGGTCAATAAATGTAGAGTTCTTGCCCTATATTCCCAATACGCCTAAAGGCATAGTAAAAGGGACCTTTATTTTAATCCTTTTATGTAATTGATTTTCACGACTCCAGTTTCAGAACTTCCATACCTATATTGTATAGTACCCATCAAGCATATGGATTTTATATTTGTATGTGATTGTGCAGTTTATTGGTAACATTGAAAGCAACAATCACATAAACAATAGCAACAATACTGAAATAGGTGAATGCTTTAATAACTGCTCTAGTTGTACTGAGAACTTATTACATACTAGATGTGCTCTGCCACACGTTGCTGTGGCCCCGAATGGTGGTATGGAAAAGAATGAAAGTAGCTCTCAGCTAACAGTGTCTGTCATAACCCTCACCCCCTCCCCTCTCCCCTCCACCCAGTCATGTCTCCCTCTCCGAAGGATTGAAAAATCATCCCTGGCGAAGGTATTAAAATAGAAATAGTTAAGAAATGAGAACTTAAAAATAATGTCTTAAGCTCTATCAGCTAACAGTGTCTGGCATAACCTCCCCCTCCCGCCCCCCCCCCCCCCCCCCCCCCCCCCCCCCCAAATAATATGTCCCTCTCCGAAGCAATAAAAAATCATCACTTGGCGAAATTATTAAAATAGAAATAGTTAAGAAATGATAACTTTAAAATAATGTTTTAAGCTCTCTCAGTTAACAGTGTCTGCCATCAACATGTTGTCGCCACGCACTGTTTAGTGTAATTGAGCTCCCAACAAAGAAAAAGAAAAAAAAAAATACTCCATCACCTAACCAGTGATGGAACCCACAGTAATAGTCCGTTCTATACTCACAAATAGCGGAAATAAAAAAACCCACCCGTCATCTCCCCTCTCCAAAGGGACCAATGTTAAATGACCTTGGCATCCGTGTCCACCCAAAGTAAACTGGACTGTAAACAGTCTTAGTTAACAGCTTCAACGAATAGTTTATGATCGAGTGAAGCGTCACGGGGAGGATAAATGGGACTTTTCTGAAATCGGATGTCTTTGGGCGAAAGGTGCAGATATCGCAGCCTAGCTGTAAACTACAACACAATGCCAATAGCCTTCTTAAGGGAAAAAGACAAATTAGCACCCAGTGGGTAATCGAACACCGGTCAACCACGTGAAGGGCTGAATACGTACAACTTTACTACCTAAGACTGAAGAGTTTGGGTCCGATATCGCAGCCTAGCTGTAAACCACAAAACAACATGCCAGCCACCCTCTCAAGGGCGAACGAAGACTACCCGTGACATGACTAACATCACATCGCAGCTATCACATTCTAGCTGTAAACCCCAAACCGAGCCTAAAAAAGACATAGATATCGCAGCCTAGCTATAAACCACAACACAACGTGCCAGCCGCTTAGTTAAGGGCAAAAAAAAAATGTAATCACCTAGCGGGGCATTGATCGCCAGTCACCTGCATAACACGCAAAATATACAACTACGCTATAAAGGACTCAAGCATCTGCCCAATTATATCTCCGAATGAGTGAAACATTATTATGTGGCGACATTATTAAAATAGAAATAGTTGAGAAATGAGATCTGTAAAATAATCTTCTACGAAGTAAGGGAAAGTCTTCGCCTGACGAAATATTGTTGTTAAATTGAGCTTGGCATCCGTGTCCACTCAGACAAAAATGGGTAGCATTAATCTGTACTGAGAAGTAAATGTGGCCTGTGTAACAGCTACCACATAACCCATCGAGTACCAGTGCTACTGCTACCACAACCACCACCATCGTCACAACAACACAAAATGTTCACTACTGTCCGTACTGTTCGTTCTAGCCAGAGGAGTTGGCACTGGGCGTAAGGCGCAGATGTTGCAACTTAGCTGTAAACCACAACACAACGTGCCAATCGCCCCTTTAGGGGAAAAAGAAAAATTAGCACCCAGCGGGGAATCGAACACCAGTCATCCACGTGAAGGGCGGAATACTTACAACTCTACTAACGAAGACTGAAGACTTTAGGTCAGATATCGCAGCCTAGCTGTATTACCACAACACAACGTGCCAACTGCCCTGTCAAGGACGAATGAATATTACCCGGGACATGAACATTGAGCATCACGTCGCCGCTATAGCAGGCTAGCTGTAAACCCCAAAATCGAACGGGAAAAAAGCGTAGAACACCAGTCATCCACGTGAAGGGCGGAATACTTACAACTCTACTAACGAAGACTGAAGACTTTAGGTCAGATATCGCAGCCTAGCTGTATTACTACAACACAACGTGCCAACCGCCCTGTCAAGGGCGAATTAATATTACCCGGGACATGAACATTGAGCATCACGTCGCCACTATAGCAGGCTAGCTGTAAACCCCAAAATCGAACGGGAAAAAAGCGTAGATATTGCAGCCTAGCTATAAACCACAACAAAACGTGGCAGCCACCCAGTTCATTTAGGGGCCAAAAAAAAAAAATTATATCACCCAGCTGGGAATCGAACCCCTATCACCCATGTAAAATGGGGAAATGCTTACAACTAACTACGCTACTAAACACTCAAGCAGTTGGTAGAAATGAAAGTATATAATAATAATGTGAAGTTCGGTGTTACACAGTCAAAGGTCGCAAACTGACTAAAAAAAAATCCGAAAAACAAATAATGATTTGACCGTTGCTGGAGCTACGTCGTTCATGGTTTGTGCGATTTTATGACAAAAAAATTACGCTTGGAGTTAGAGGCAACGTTGTGTGAAAATTTGAAAGCAATCGGTTTAGTAGTTTCCGAGTTTTTAAATAACAACATCGGAAAATTAAAATTTTTATTAATATAGATTTCTACTGATTGTTTCTGCAATAAATCATTACCCCTCTCCCAACCCCCACTCTTCCCTTTCAAACCATTATGTCATAAATATTTTGTAGCTGTCAGCATAGCTGATGGGGAAAACCCATCAGATTTGTTTGCAGTGCAAAGGGGAGTATGACAGGATTGCATTCTCTCACCATATCTGCTCAACATCTGTACAGAAAATGTAATTAGAAACAGTCAGAATGATGAGACCTATGATAGTTTTTATCAACTATTTATAATTAGTAAAAATCCATTGCCAGAGTACATTTATGCAGACATCACAGCTCTCTTAGTTAGTGATAAGAGGTTATATCAGTTCTTAGATCTCATTTGTTTAAACAAAAAGCAAAAAAAAAGAAAAGAAAAGAATTTGAAGATCAAAATTTGTGAATGAATTTTAAAAAGAAAACTAAATGTTAGCAGACAGAACTACATGCCATCCAATGGTCTCAGTCCACAGTTTTACAATTGAAAATGTTATACACATTGTTACAAAGTTATGGCTCCATAATCAATCAACAGTGTTGACTTGTCAGAAACTACAGCCAGAGGACTAACCAAGGCAATAAAGAGGTTAAGCAGAAATAATGATAAACTATGTCACAGTGCAGCGAAAAATCTCAGTTACTTGCATCTTTGTTGCAAGAATATCTGGAGATGAGCCATGTACCATTTAGTAACCACCAAAGAAGACAACTGGGCCTTGTTAACTTATATATTACATAATTCTTATTAAAAAACTAGACCAACTAGGAGACAAATACTGTCATTCTACAAGGTCTGAACAAGAAAACTGGCTCATAAACAGCATAATGTCTTATAAAGTGAAATATGTGGTCATAATAAACGTCACAGTAGTTTAGAAATAACAGTATTTCAATGCTTGGTACATGGGAAAAGAGGCTTACCAACTTGTATGTTGACAAAGGACATTGAAGAATTCATAAATATACTTGATCAGGGAAACTAGTAAAGGATCCAGAATTGCTTCAGTGGGCTGTGATGATAGTTAATTCTACAGATGATGATTACTCATCAACATTTTTTGATGAGTTAGAATCTCTGTTAAAGTAACAGTTCACTGGTTTGCCACTGTGCCACACATTATACTGTTGCTCACTATGTGGTTTGGTTTGTGTTAGTTTGCCACTTTAATAAACCCTGTAAATTCCTTTGACAGATATACCACGAAGCAAAGAAGTTTGGAAAGGTTTACAACATCAACGTGGTGTGTGCCTATGGTGGTGGCAGCATGTGGGAACAGTCAAAAGCTTGCCAAGAAGGAGCAGAAATTATTGTTGCCACTCCCGTAAGTCTTTCCTGTTTATAGTTCACTGAAAAACAGTTTTGTAGAGTGCTTATATTAAAGACTATTGTTGATGATCATGGTTCCTAGAAAACAAGACGAAGCAATACAAAAACAACAGATTTAAATATTTTGACCACCTGAAAAGAGTTCCAACTACTACATAGAGTTAGACTGAAGAAATATAATGAGCACATAGCAAGTGAAGACCTTGCAAAAGATAGAGGGATGCATCCCTAATAACTTTAGAGAAATGAAGACCAACTTACAAATGTCTGATGAAAAAAAATCAGACTAACTTACATAATGGCTTATAAAAAAGCACACAGAATAATTTTACTTCCATCCCCACCCCTTCCCCCTTTCTAACACTTAATTAGGTTTATTTTAAATAAGAATAGAAAGAATAAATATTGGTTTTGCTGTCTGTTACGAATCTCTGAGAAATCGCTATTTCGATTTCATTGCCCAGAAGTATATTTATCGGTTTCAGTATTGCTTGCTTCTGCTTTGTTTAGATGGATTGAGTATGTCTGTATTTTCTAACAATGCAACAGGAGAATTTTCATTGATACACTAAAATTTTGTTAACAAACTCGCTTAAGAAGAATACTCTCACATGAACATGGTCCCAGCAGGAATGTATTACTTTTATTAGCCCCAGTTTTAATGCAAACTCAATTTTTGGTCCCTTGGAATTCGTGTTAACAAGGTTTTACTATAATTGTTATGGAAGTGATATGAGTTTTACTTATGACATCATAATTCCTCTTCAACCTGTTCACTTTATGATAGATGCTGGAGATAACAAAATATACACCTACCAAGGAATGAAATCCATTAAATTCTCTCTTACTGGATAATTGATTAGATCCTTTAACATAAGTCCTCTGTATCCTCACCATGTGATATATATATATATATATATATATATATATATATATATATATATATATATATATATATATATATATATATATATATATATATATATATATATATATATATATATATATATATATATATATATATATATATATATATATATATATATATATATATATGTATATATATATATATATCACATATATATACTAGCTGTACCCGGCCACGCGTTGCTGTGGCATAGTTTGGCTAAATGGAAAAGAAAGAAAATAGAAATCGCACGTGTCTAATGTTGTTACTGTCGCAATCATTGTCTGCGCACATACAGAGATAGTCATCGATGCCCCCCCCCCTCCCAAATCCACAAACTACTCGCTCCCTCATCAAAGGCTTTTTGAAAAGAAAGACAATAGAAATCGCACATGTCTAATATAGTTAATGTCGCAATCATTCTCTGCACAGATATAGAGATAGTCTGGTTTGCCACTTTAGAACACTTTAGAACACGCAACATATAATTGCGTCTTTATATTAGTGGTCGTTTAAATGGTATTATTAGCACAGTAAAAAAAAATGGTTATTTGGTTATCACATGCTAAAGCTGTTTGGATTTTTTTTAAGAGACGGAAGTAAAGCTTACTAATGTACTTGTAAAAAACCAAGTAAGTCGTTAAAAAAAAAATGAGAATAGCGGAGGTAGCGTTAGTAAAATATAAACAAATTGAGAAATGAAAACTTTAAAATCATGCGTTAAGCTCTTTAAGTTAACAATTTCTGTCATCACCCCCTTCCCTGCCCCATCTACCGAATACTGCTCTCTGCCTCATCGAAGGATTTTAAAGTCATCACCCGACGATGTTTTTTGTCACTGACATTGATACCCCTGTCCATCCAGACTAAAATAAGGAGCAGGAATTGTAATGAGAAGTAAATGCGGCTAGTGTAATATTTACTACACTATCCTTCAAGTACCAGTACAACTACTACCACCACCGCCACCACAATAACTAAAATAATTTCACTGCTATCTGTTTTACTGTCGGAATAGACAGGGAGTCGTGAGCCAGAGGATTTGGCGCCGCAAGGCTAATGCTGTCGGCACGGACTGGTCAGGTTAGGATGTGTAATTTTGCTACCCGACAGTAAAATGCCATCACCATACCGGCGGTCTCCGGCATGACAGCACTATGGTGTAACCGCCCAGTCACAACTACTACTGCTGCTACTTTGAGTGGGTAGGGCAGTTACTTTGACTTGAAGCTCTTTCAGTTACCAGTTTATGCTACTCTCCCCCTCCCCACCCCTCCCAATTCACTGACTACTCTTTCCTTCATCGAAGTAGTTTGGAGGAAAAAAAAACAAAACAAGTGAAATGCAACGAAAACAGGAAAAATACACCATAATTACGAAATGAACGCTATGTTAAACAACACAGCCTAATTCCAACGCAATGTCAGAAGAAATAATTAAATCGAAATGAAAATAAATGGAAATCTATGAAAATTCAGCGTACCATGCAATCGGAACATTTGAAATGAAATCATAAGTATGCGAAATGGTTATCAACTGGTTTACCCACGTACCTGTATTTTTTTTTTAAAATATAGTATTTATGGCCACATGGCTAGTGCTGTCACCACGACAGAGCAGGTCTGGGTTTTATTTTACCCCCGGGTAAAAAAAAAAGGAAACTGCCGTACTGGGGATTCAAACCCTAGTCTCCCGCACGGGAACCCAGTGTACTAACCATTCGGCCAGCTAACCACTGCTTCTGAACAACGAAAAGAGAACAAAACTACGCAAGATGTGTGTCCCGATTCTAACAACTTAAAACCGCTGGCAATTGTTTTCTCATAAACAGATATCCCAGACATAAACTTCAAGTATTATTGAAACGGCACTATAATAGAAATCATACGTGTCTAACACGGTAAATGTTGCAATAATTTTCTGCGCAGACATATATCGCTCCCCCCCCTTCTCTTCCCCTTTCTCAAATCCACCGACTACTCTCTAACTCATCGAAGGTTGTTTGAAAAGAAAGAAAAAATAGAAATCGTGTCTAAAATGGTTAACATCGCAATCAGCGATATAGAGATAGTCTAGTTTGCTGTACGGGCAGATGTTAAAAATAGAGCGACCCGTGTCTACTGCGCATGCTCTGTGCAAGTTGATCACTCATGCGCATTTACTAACGTGGCTATAATTAAATGTCACTGAAAATGGAAATATTAGCTTCGAAGATTTTCACAACAAATATTGTCCCCTATCTCTAACAATGACATGTAGAATTTCAAACCATGATGGGTAAAGTCCCGGTATCAAAACAAACATATCCTGAAAATTTCAGCTAAATCGGTTCAGTAGTTTCCGAGTCTATAGCTCATAAACAAACACACAAACATTGATTTTTATATATATAGATATATATATATGTGTGTATGCATGTATGTATGTGTGTGTATGTATGTGTATAGTACTGCTGTGTTCTAATCCTCATTGAGGCACAGTTGTATTACTGGCTTTATCTGATACAGTTGTTTGATAACAGTTATTACATTTAAAGTACCTGACTAAAATTACCCGAGAATCAAGGGTTCATAGGATTTGTTTTTAAAGCAAATAGGAGATCATGATTTAAAGTTATAACCTCTTAACAATTACCTAAAATCCAGGAGACTGTTAACATTTTTTAAATAGTAATTCATGGGACACAAGGGTTACAAGTGCATCAGAGGTTCAGAGGGCTTAAAAAAATGGGAAATTATAATTTATAGTTATAACCTCTTGAGAATTACCTGAAATTCACCCTGAAATCCAGGAGACTGGAGATTTTTAAACAGGAATTCAAGGGCAAAAGTGCTAGAATATTCAAAGTAACAAAGTGAAGAAACTATTTATGTAATGCTTGGGAAGGTTTATTTATGTCTGTGTCAGAATTTCTGAGATGATAGGCCAAATTTACTGCACCAATTCCAATTTCAGTTGTCCAACAAAAATTCCAAACTTGATCCTTTTTCAGCTGCCTGGAGGCCTGCTATATTAAGGAAGGTTCCTTGGCTGTCTTATTTGGTTTCCTTTTATTTATAGTGTGTAGTCACACCTGCTAATCCAGTTCTTTGCTTCCTTGCTGCGTTGTGGTGCTTGTGGTTTTTGGGTCTTGTGTGGTCTAGTTCTCTTAAAGATGATTTCTGTGGGTTTTAGCTGATTGTTGCTGGTGCTTGGTTTACCTCGTGCTGATCGCTGTGCTGGTGCCCTGTTGCTGCTTGGTGGCCGTCCTGTAAAGCCGCCGGGAAAAGCCAAACAAACACCAGGTCACAATGTCTCAAACAATGCTCCTTTTCAGGACAACAATCTGTTGTTGTGATCAGCCTGATTTTTTTTCCCCACAGAGTGTGGAGAAGTAGTGGAGGTAACATGAGAGAGGTAATTTGCTTGAATGTGCCAGGAGATGTGATAGTTAGGTCGGAAGAATGAGAGCGACAGATAGATTGAGAGAGGTGACTTCTCGACGCTGGAACTTCTGGTAGGTTGAGATCCCATTGTCTGAAATAAAACTGAAGGCATTGTTAACATTCATGTGATTTGGGGGTAGGGTGGCGTAAGAGAGACTGGAATCCCTGAGTGCTGGTCCCCTTGGGTGCATTGCCCTCGGCTAGCTGCTTCAGGACGTCGGGTGGCCTTTGGTGAGTTGCGTTGTCTTCTTCCTCCTGAAAATATACTATTTTAAGATTTTTGTTACATCTTTAGCATTTACGATGTTATTCGCCAGTGGGCAGGTAGAGACAGTGGACGTAGCATAGGTTTAGAGTGCTGGAATGCTTCAGAGGATAAAAAGTGAAGTTGGTAGAGTGAGAGGGAGGGATAGACTGTCCTGACAGGTGCCACTGGTACTTGCAGGATCTGATCAGGTCCCATCGGTCTGGGTTGAGGGATGGTTCTCAGATCGCTCTCCCTGTTCTTGATATGAACTGCTTGACAAGTCGCTGAGTCTGGTCCTCAGTGCTCACGCTGAGGCAGTTTTCGACAGTCAAGTGTTCCATAGAGTTGTTGGCCCTGCATTCCTGACAAACAGGCGTGCAGAATCGATCTGGCCAACACCCTGGTCGCATCTTCCACAGTTTGCGGATGACAGGGATTTTTGTCGGTGCTTGCATTTGGTTCTTGAGACTGGGCTTTTTAAGTAATTTGTAGGCGACTCTGCCTTTATCGCTGGTCGACCACTGCAGGGACCACTCTCTGCAGATGTTGTTTCTGATAACTGCTTTTTGTTTGGTTTTGCCCAGTCCCATGAACACTGTGTTAGGGCTGCTGGTGACTCTTTTTGCCGCTCTGCTGCTTCGTTGCCTTCGATACCTATGTGAGCTGGGTTCCAGCCAGTGGTTACCTGGCATCCCAGGCTTCTGAGTCTTGGTGAAAAAGTAAGGATTTCCTCTTTCAGGTCTTGTCGGCTCACTTTCGATAGTCTTTTAATGGCTGGACAGATGACAGCGAGTTGGTAAGGATGAGGAGTTTTTATGGGGGGCCTTTCGCAGGCTAGCTCCAGTGCTTTTAATATCCCTACCAGCTCTGCCGTGCATACTGCTGTATTGTCAGTGAGTTTAAATTCGTGGGTTGTTTTCCAAGCTGGTATGTAGACCCCTGCCCCGACAGCACCAGTACTGGTTTTGGAGCTGTCTGTGTAGATTATCATAGTATCTGCTTCAGCATTCCGAATGTACTTGTCGACTCTCGATCTTGCATCTAGGATGTCCTGGTTTCTGTCTATTGCGTCCGCCAGGCTTTCATCCGTGTACAGAATTTTAAGCTCCCAGGCTGGGGTGGTCGGGTGGTACCTTATATTGGTGTTAGTGTTAATTTCTGCTGCCGTATACCAGGCGGCTGGTCTTCGGAATTTATGTAGTGGGATGCTGATTTTTGACCACGGGTATTCATGAACGGTTAGTGCCTGGATGGTAGGGTGGTGTGGGTCGAGCGACGTTTGGGACCAGTAGCTGAGCCTCAGTTGTCTTCTACTACTGCACATGGTTTCTGATGTATATATTTGAATAATTCCAGGGAAGGCTGATTGATCTTGTGAAAAAAAAGGTCACCAACCTGCAGAGAGTGACTTACCTTGTCTTTGATGAAGCTGACAGAATGTTTGACATGGGCTTTGGTGAGCATTTCATTTGGTGTGGAGCATGTGTAGCTATGTTTGCATTAAACATTGCGTTAAAGCATGTGTTGCAATTGTTATTTAATATGACAGTAGTTGTTCTGATCTTCAGTACATCTTCTACATCTTCAGTATTTATTCTACGAGTGGATGTACTTAAAAAGCTCAGTGAAGGGAATGGATAAGAGGCACACAGATACAGCCAAATGTTTCAACCAATCTTCACCAACTGAATACTAATACAGCACAAACTGTAACTCAATAGACAATACAACTGAGCTTTTAAATAACCAAAGGTCAACATAAAGCCCAAGAAATTTAAAAAAAAAACCTTGGAGAAATAACAAAGTTTAATAAATAAATAAAATAAAATAAAAAAAAAATCACATATAGTGTCACAGGTTTCGTGTGAATATCTGTGTTTGTGATGGGTGTTAGGTTGAATCCCAACTGTCCACTCCACATGAAAAACGGGTCTCTTATCTGAGTTGAATTAATATCAGAGTCCTGGATATCCACACACACACACACAAAACCAGCTGTAATTAGGTCGTATTATAACTTAACAGTAGCGGCGATTGGTGCCCACAGTAGAAGAAAATGGGGGGGTTTTAGAAATCTCGATTAATTGAACTTTTATACAGGGCAGATGACCTCTTCCAATAATCTCCTCTTGGTGAAGAATAAAAAGATAAGGCCCCCCCATCCCCCGCCTAACATAACCCAACATAATCTAAGAGTTTAGTAAAACATGTAAGAACAGATACGCTTAGAATTTAACAAACACTGGTTTAAAACTTGATATATTGATTTATTATACTATGAATTATTTGGATGAGCCAGAATGTGCATGCTGTCAAGTGACAGTCAGTCATAAAATGACATGGTTTACCCCTGGGTGAGCAATCTTCTGGCTAGGTAAACACTGTTCATGGTGGCTGTCAAAATCTTCACCACACTGGCTTGCACATGTGGGCTGACTGCTCCACAGTCAATAAACTTGGTTTGGTTCATGTTTGAAACATGACTTCTGTTTATTTTACTTTAATAGGTATCAAGTTGTATTACATGAACATTAAAAGAGACTGAAAAACGTGATGAAAACATTAAAGGAATATGAGAGGTTGACCAGTGCCCTAATTGATATAGCTGAATCCTCCCTCACAGAGAACTATTAAAAGCAGTATGTATATCTAGATAATTCAGAAAAGGTAGAATGGCTAGACTTGTAACTTAGGAATTACAGAGTGAAAATATTATTTCATTTTACGTGGGAAAAGCAGCAATTTGCCAAATAAGACTCACACAACTAGGATGACTTTCTTCTGTGGGTCTTAGTTGGTGGCATGCTGGAAGCATTAAATGAATTTTAAGACCCCTAGCTTTTTCACTGTTTCTCCTGTCTCAATTAGCAGAGTAATGTTGTTTCTCTTTTTCCCTATTTAAAGTCTTTCCTTCAAGAGAGGCTTTAAACCCCACCCCTGAGGTACCTTCTTGCTACAGTTGTCTTTCTAGCTGTCAGTTAGTTACTGATTGCCCACCTTCTGATCTAATGTGTCACCTGGTTTTATCAGTTTTCAAGTGGTTTTCACTGGAGTCATCACGAATTTACTTGCATTTAATTTGGATTTACTTTCTGTGATTGGGAAGGTCAGAAGGACAAAACTTGCCTATTATGTGAGATTCCTGACATTTCAGTGTTTTCACAGGTGGACTGGCAGGCAATCTGATTAATCCCTGGTCAGAGAAAAAGAAACAATTGAAGTATTTGGGCCTAGTGCATATTCAGTGTAATTCTTTGTTTCGTTACTGAACACAAAGAACATTATTAAACATACTATACTCTGAAATCACTGAGGTGGTTTTTGTCACAAATCGACACCAAGTGCGACGATCATGCCTCTCCACAATCTTTAATCCGCAGCTGCGTGTATCAAGTCTGAATGTTGAAACACCTTCATGCCATGACAAAAGACCATCAAGCCATCTTGTTCTTGGCTGTCTTTTCCCCTGTGTCTTTCCACATATCATGCCATGACAAAAGACCATCAAGAATCTTTTCTTGCTGTCTTCCCCTGTCTCTCTTTCCACAGATCTTTCCAGTGGTCACAACATGTTCCATTTTCCTCTTCTCATAACATGACCCCAAAAAATGATGACTGTCCCTTTCTGATGTTTGTGATAAGTTGTCTCCTAGCACTTGCCTCTTTTAAAACATCTGGGTTGCTCTTCATAGGAATTCTAAGGATTCTTCTGTAAAAACCACATCTCGGAGGCCTCAAGATATTGTTCGGCTTGTTTATTAATTGTCCAGGCTTCACAGCCGTATGTTAAAACTGCCTCTATATAGCATTCAAGGAATTATTTTCCTAACCTCCGATGACATGGATTTATTGCATTAAATGTTCTTCATTTGGTAAAATGCAGTTTTGGCTTGTCCTATTCTGTTCTTTATCTCTGTCCATTGGATGTTATCCAGGTGAATGGATGCTTAAATTTATGTACTTATCCCAAAATAAAATCTTTGGCTTTTATTACATTTAGGCACTATTATTTTCCTGGAAATGACCATTATTTCAATCTTCCCATTATTCAAACTGAGGCCCATTTTATCACTTTCTGCCACCACCTTATCTATCAATTCCTGCTGTTCTTTCTGACGATGTCATCAGCATAAGGCAGGTTGTTTATGTTGTGACCACCAACTACAATTCCTGGCATATCCATGATATATCATTTTATATTCCTGTATAATGAAAGCGAATCCCGTGATAGTACACATCCTTGTCTTAAACCTCTTTATGCTTTGAAATGTTCCTAAATTGTTATTAATTCTTTAGACAAAAATTATTCGAGTGTAACCATATACAAACCGGCGGAAGATCAGGGGAAACCACTGCTATATTTTCCCTAGTAAATCATGCCTGTACAACAATCAAATTCAGATAATGACAGTAATGTGGGGTTCTAATGGAATAACTCGTCCGGTCGGGAGCAGCATGTTCTACAGACGATACCCGACCGTCATCCAGCTGTTGTAGAGAAAGTAAATATCAGAAACATCATAAACATTGGTACATAGGATGTCAGAACACTTGTACAAACTGGAAAGCTGGATAACATCAAGAGGGATGTAATAAGTGCAGGGACTTGTGTATGTGTAGAATACCCAGATTAATCTAATGGTTCTTCTGTTCGTAATGAAAAATTCTTCAGTGGCTAAAATTCTGTAGTCAGAGCAATTGAGCAGATGCAGCTGATGTACAGTCAGATGATACTGCATCTCCAGTTGTAATTCTTAACTAATGTACTACTGCCACACTTCAAACACAAGTATCTAGAACTACATCTGCTGTTACAAATATTTGTGCAGTGTAGTATTATTCCGCATATTATTTACTATTTGCAGATGATCAAGTATTAATCGCTGAAACAGAAAAGAGTTTACAGAACCATATAAACCAAGTCAATATTAAGTGTGAGAAATATATAAGGATAAGCTTTGATAAGACAGAGGCAATAATAGGTAGACAAGAAGAAACCATATCTTCTTCTTCTTCAGCATTCCAAGCCTTTGAGGTTCATGCTGCAGATATCACCCACCTCCAGTCATCTCGCTGGATGGCCTTCTCTTTCCAGTTGGTGACACCAAGTGTTTGCAGATTTGTCTGGACATTGTCTCTCCATATTCTTCTTGGTCTGCCTCATCACCTACAACCATTAATCTCCCTTGTTTCACTTCTCTGTCATCTGCAGTTTGCCAGTAAACCTAAGACTGACAGATGGGGCAAAATATGTGTCAGCAAATAAATAGAAAAAAAAGAACATCATAGCTCTTTTTCTGACATATTTCTAGTCAGTATTGTCAAGGTTTATTATTGTTGGTTGATATTTAAGTTTTATATGAGACACGTTAGATATATTAATTCCTAAAACAAAATTACTAACAGCTGTACCTTTGGAGAAAAAACATTAACTACATTTTAAAACAAATGGTAAATATGTTTTTTTTCCACTTCAGTTTTGTCAGTTTTAGAGGATTGCATAGCATCACTGTAAACTTCATAAGAATTATTACAGATGATTAGTTCTGTTTCTGATTTGTCATCTCCAGAACCCCAGGTTAGATCTATCGCAAACCACGTGAGACCAGACAGACAGAGTGAGTATTGTAAATATTCAGGTTCTTTATTAATTCTTTATTAATATCCCAATATTCTGCATGTGACTTTATGTTGCCACTTCTACATCAAAATATATTTACATGAAGGCACGCAAAGGGAAGATGCATTTTTTGCTTTAAAAAACAAAATTTAATCATTGCTTATTACTCGTGTAATGACCTAACTCTTCACCTCCCATAGTTGTAACTGCAATTAATAAGTCAGCATTACACATGTAAAATGTAAGCCCGTTTACAGCATGGCTGTGATATTTTCACCTTTCGGCCAACACATTCAACTTCTGCAGGCATTTGTTGGCCGCGTTGGGGAGGGGGCTGGTGTGCACCTTTATCAGCACGTCCCTGTTATTGAACTCTAGTGCCAATGAAAGATTCTTGAGGGTGGCGATGGCAAGGCTGGTGTGCCCTAGTGTCAGAACTACCGTGCTATTGAGCTCAGTGCTCAGAGAAGATTGTTAAGGTTGGAGAAGGTGGGACAGAACTTGAGTATTCCCTCCCCTCCAAGGAGGCTTCCATAAATGCAGAGCCAATATATGGTGCTCTGATATTGGTCTCACACAAGGAATTGTCACGCTCATGACTGTTTAACTTCACTTCCATATATTAAGCATCTCATTTATCATGGGCTGTCTTTAGAAGCCAGCATAGGCAGCCTGAAGACCTTGGATTTTGATTACCTAAACAGAATGAGTACATCGCTTCTCTACATGTTAGACTTTTACTGCAGCGAAACTCTGTGTCAACTATAGGTTAATGCCACATTTACCACACAAATGCCTAGGGGCATCCAGTGTTACAGTATGTTGACAGATGTGTCTGTTTAATTTTTCCCCACATCATGGTTTATGAACTCTGCATCTCAGGGGACTGTCAGCTCTTAGAATCCTTGAGTTTTCACTTCTTATACCCTCAGAGGTCAGTGTGAATATATTTACAGCAATCAGCAGTCAACCTGAGGTTGTGGACATCTCCATAGAGCAAATGTTTAGCTGTCATTTTTCCATTTCCACAATTACAATCATCAGTGTCTCATATCTTTAGCTTATTGAACAAGTGGTGTTTCAGCCTATTATATCATGGACGGAGTCTAAAGATCACTATTTGTTCTTTTCAGTCAATCTAGTAATATGCATCATCATTCTTCTGGGATGGATGTTCAGAATCCCACATGGTACTATAAATACTTTTTATAAACCATGTTAATATATTTTATCATAGGCTCATGATTCACGAGCGGTTGGCTTTCTCTTCATGCAATAATTCGCTTAGATAAATCATTAATAATTATTTTAAAAAAATTGTATCTGTGTTACTGTCCTAATAAAGTAGTTAATATATTATATTTAATAATAGAAAAACTGATTATCATTCACAATTAAATTTTTTAAAAAGGAATTAATAGTATAATTTTTTTGCAACAGCTCTTTTGTTTAGTGCTACATTTAGGAAGAGGGTGGAAAAGTTAGCCAGGGACATTCTTGCTGATCCGATCCGAGTTGTTCAAGGGGAGGTTGGTGAGGTGAGTGTTCATGTGATAATGTTTTGAGTGTCAGTGCATGTGTCATTGTGTGAGTGGGAGACACAGAAATGAGCATAAATGCAGATTATGTCTGACAGATATTAGTAGATGTTAAAATATTCTGCTTATTATATATACAGGCAAATGAAGATGTCACCCAGATTGTAGAGGTTCTTCCACTCGGTCCAGCAAAATGGACATGGCTAATGAGACGATTGGTTGCTTTCACATCAGGTTTGTGCTTGAATCTTCATTATGTTGAGCAAATCATGTGTTCATTTGCTTTGAATACAAGACAGGTTGCCAGGTTCAGCAGGTTGTCAACATTCTGAAGTTGTAGACATGCATAGTCATCTTCTAAGTTGTTTGCAAGCATGTTTTATTCCACTTTACTGATCATACCTGATCTGGCATCTCTATTTTTCCTTTGTACCAGTTGTACATTGAATTCCATATATCAGCATTCTTTGTTCTCTATTTTACCTTTGTACCAGTTGTACATTGAATTCCACATATCAGCATTCTTTCATTACTTCTATCATCCTTAATAATATTGTGTTTAAATGGTTATTTTACAATAACCTTAATGTTTCCCTCTTACCATCATTATGCAAACACTTGGTGTCACCAACTAGAAAGAGAAGGCCAACCAGCGAGATGAGTGGAGGTGGATGATATCTGCAGCAATGAATTTCAAGGGCTCAGAATTCAATTCTGAAGAAGAAGATAAAGAAGAAGATATTGGCTTCTCATTTTTTTTTCCTAATAATACCAACCGACTGTAGTCATGGTAACATTTATTGTTTAAACTGTTTTTAATTTTCCTATTCTGTTTTAACTCTGCAAAATTATTTTAAGATAAATGAGTTCACATGAAGAGGCCAGAATGATATATTGTTTATTTTTCTTTAATTTTATGTTCATTTGATATTGCAGAAGGAAGTGTTCTCATATTTGTGACACGCAAAGCAAATTCTGAAGAGTTGGCTGCTAATCTGAGAGCTAAAGACTTTGAACGTGAGATTTTCATACTACCTAAATGCAGTGTATATTTACAGTTGGTAATAGTACAGTTTAACTTGGTATAGGAAGTGCTCAATTTCACACGAAACACTTTTATTTCCAGAACATTTCCATGTTAGATTTCAGAGACTTATGATAAGAACAAACAATGTGTACAGATAAAAAGAGTAATTAATATGTCTTGACAGAAATGAACTCCTGATGAGAACTAATTACCCACATCAGAAGACAGTCTACATTTTTTTGATCACATCATGGGGAGAAAACTGGAGTACATCATGGCTGTGGAAAAGATGGAGCGGAAGAGAAGTAGAGAGCTACAAAGAGAGCAGATGTTGCACAGTTTAACATTATGGCGTGAGAGATGATCTGTGTCAGAAATGATTGAAAGTACAAGAGACATAATGACTACCAGTACCACATGGCATGGACTGTAAGTAGGGATGCAAACACTTTAGCACTGGGTGAGCAGGTAGTCTGCTAGTGACTGCACTACCATGATTCCCATTTTTCCAATTAACCAGTGTTCGGTGCACTGATTTATCATTATTAATGCACTTAAATACTAGTGGACAGTAGACTGACATTTAGCACAGTGACACAGGATCCGATGCTTTTTGTTGACAATATGGCTTTGGTCTCAAAGTTTCAGTTTTGTGTATGACAGTACAGGGAGTTAGTAAAACACTGATGTAATTACCTATGTTGTGTGAGCTCAAACCATACTCCCAAATTGTCCCGTAAATGTTCCATAATAAGAGACACATTTTTCAAATTTTAATGATCATGGGGTATTTAATATGTTTTAAAAATAATGTTTAGTTATATTACACTCATTATTTAGTATTGTTGTTTAATTGTTGAACTGAAAATAATAATGTAAATTATGCATTTTGTTCATGCAGTGGGTCTGATGCACGGAGACATGAGTCAAGTAGAAAGAAATGAGATCATAAGTGCGTTCAAGAAGAAAGAGTTTTCTATTCTGGTGGCTACCTGATGTAGCAGGTAGGGAATTGATGTATGTTTCATAATGTGTGTGTGTTTTTGTTTTCACCTAGAAAGATGTTAATCATTCTTACATGCTTAGTTTACATTTGTTAGCATTATGTATTTGATTTTTTTGTCACTGATTCATTAAAAAAAAAAAAATTATGCTTTATCTACACGTAGTATTGAATTTTTTCAGACTGGAAATTATTGAGGTTTATCTCCTTACAGCTCGTGGTTTGGATATTCCGCACATAAAAACGGTGATCAATTATGATGTGGCACGTGATATTGACACACACACTCACAGAATTGGAAGAACTGGTCGAGCTGGTTGGTGCAATTATTTAAATTTATGTAGTCTTTGTTTACGTTGCTCACACAATGATTTGTTTTTTAACTTTGAGAGGAGATGTAAAGGTCATTTTGTAACATACCTTGATTCAGGATGAACTATGGGTCATTTATTCTTTAAGATTTGATTGGGGCAGCTCAGACTCATGAAGGTTGTGAGATGGGCATCTGTTTTGCTCATTTAGAGTTAAAATTGCTGCAAAGCAACTGCTTCTATCTAGACACAAAAAGGTTTGAAAATGTTTTAAATGAAGTTTTAATCAATAAAATTTTTCTGCAGGTAAGGAATTATGAAATGATTTGACTGTCTGTCTAAACAGAACTGGACGTACTGTTTGACAATTTATTCCTGACAGGGTCATAGAAAATATGTTGCCTTGTTGACAGTTCATATATATCCACCGAAGCAAATATGTCCTGTGTGAAGTATTTGCTGGTTGATGGACACAATGTTCTTGTTCTCCTGCATGTCAATAGGTACAACAAGTTGCTTTCAGCTCGTAAATCTCTCTGATTTGTGTTGTTGACATTAAATAACTTACCATACCACCACATAAGAGTTTTGTCCTTGGTCTCTACAGCCCTAATTCCCCCCAGAAGATAATTAAGTGAGTTCTTGGGCTCTGTTTATATTAAAATTGGGTCTTTACAACAGCGATTACAACTGGTTTAGTTCGTTCACCTAAGTCCACCATAGTTTAAGCCTAGTATCATATGTTACAATTGATTATCTAGTAATGTCACTGTCACAGATGTGATATATTATGTATCAAGATCTGTCAGATATTCCTGCATCTGACTTGAGTTCTATAGCAACTCAGTAAATAAGCTTAAGAATATCCAGGCTGCGTTCATAGACAAGAATGGATTGTTTCAGAAAGCACTTTACAATTTGCTGGGCTGGGTTATGTGGGTATTCGAGGCAGCAAGCATCCCGGTTATTTTGCAGACACTGCAGTTGCTATGGCTGGTCTGGTACTGGACAGAAGCAGTGTTATCAGTCGCATGCGCAGAACTTACTGCAAAAATGAAAACGGCAAAGGGCATGACTCAAGGGTTTCCCTCTCCAGGCTGAGGGACATCGGGGTGCAGCCTGGTGCAGCAGGAAATGAAGATTTCACCAAAAGGACAAGAAATGTGATTAACCAAAACAGAGCAGGCATCCTCAGCCGTTTTACACTTGTAGAGGAGATCGAGCACCTGCAAATCTGTCTGGAGTGCTATGATGATAATCTTCACAAATCTGTAAAGGCATTTTATTTGAAACTTATTTACAATGATGGTTTGTAACTCCAAAAGCCTGTTCTTTCTTTGAAATGATAATGATAATAAACATAGAAATAATATTTAAACCTTTTTTTATGTTTTATTTTAACCAGGCACTAAAGGTCATGCTTACACACTTGTCACAGAAAAGGATAAAGAATTTGCACCCCATTTGGTGAGAAACCTGGAAGGTGCAAATCAACATGTTCCACCTTCTTTGTTAGATCTGGCGCAGAAGGTAAAACTAATTGCAATGTCAATCAGGCCAGATAACTATTATTACTTTACTATCTATATATAAATAAATCAATGTTTGTGTGTTTGTTTATGAGCTATAGACTCGGAAACTACTGAACCGATTTAGCTGAAATTTTCAGGATATGTTTGTTTTGATACCAGATGTTTACCCATCATTGTTTGAAATTCTACCTGTCATTGTTAGAGATAGGTGACCACATTTGTTGCAAAAATCTTCGAAACTAATATTTCCATTTTTAGTGGCATTTAATTATAGCCACGTTAGTAAATGCACATGGGCGATCGACTTTCACAGTGCATGCGCAGTAGACACGGGACCCTCCATTTTTTTACATCTGCCCATACATCAAACCAGACTATTTCTATATCGCTGATTGCGACGTTAACTATATTATACACGATATCTCTTTTCTTTTTTTTCAAACAATGTTCGATGAGTTAGAAAGTAGTCGGTAGAATTGAGAGAGGGGAAGAGAAAGGTGGGAGGGGGGGGGGTGCTATTTCTGTGCAGACAATTATTGCGACATTTACCGTGTTAGACACTTACGATTTCTATTGTTGTGCCGTTTCAATAATACTTGAAGTTTATATCTGGGATATCTGTTAATGAGAAAACAATTGCCTGCGGTTTGAGTTGTGTTAGAATCGGGACATACATCTTGCGTAGTTTTGTTATCTTTTCGTTGTTCAGAAGCAGTGGTTGGCTGGTCTAATGGTTAGTACACTGGGTTCCTGTGCGGGGGTCTAGCGTTTGAATCCCCAGTGGGGTCCAAATGGAGCAATGATGCGCAATACAAGACTCTTAATGTCTATTAGCCTCTCTTGCTCAAGCCTACCTCACCTTTACGTGGTGGACCCTGTTCTTCCCAGCAATCCAGTTGAAGGTTGGGGTCTTAACCCCCAGCGGGAAACTGGATGGGACAACAAACGAGGTAAAGGCGAAGGGATGAGCCTACTCTCCCTCTCAAGAGATCCTGAAGTCGGAAATACTGGGCCAGAAGGCGGATCAAAAACCACAGTACTACGCAACCCCACGCTATATATATGATTACACCGTCAGACAAATTTAATGTTGGTGCTCGCCCTGTGGAGCTCCACCAGGCAGGTGCAGTGCCGGGTTCTGAGCCTCGACAGAATCCACCCCCAGCTACTGGAGGACCTCCTAGACCGTCTTGTGGAGTCAGGAGACGGCGGAGGATAGCTACTGACCAAAACCAGTTAGACAAAAAAGATCCCAAATTGCCTTTTGTCATAATGCACTGGAATGCAGAGGGTGTCAGCAGTAAGCAGGCTGGCTACAGCAAAAAGTTGGAGCTGGAAAACATCCTCTATGAAAAGCATGTCAGTGTATGTTGCATCCAAGAGACCCATTTGCAGGCAGATCAGATATTTAAAGTGAGAGGCTACCAGTGCTTCAGATCTGACAGACAAGGCAGGCGAAAAGGAGGAGTACTCACCCTTGTGAAAAAACAGTATCCATCCATGCGAGAAAATGTCTTATATGGATGGAGCTGAGTACCAACTCCTGCAGCTTAAGACAGACAAAGTGGAATTAGACCTCCTTAATTACTACTGTCCCAATGACAAATCGCTAAACCTCAGCTCTGTGCCAGTACCAAATACCAACTTTATTGCAGTTGGAGACTTCAACAGTCATTCACAGAGCTGGGGCTATAACCATCTCGACAATAGGGGTGAAGAGGTGGAAACATGGCAAGATGACCACTCTCTGATCCTGATCAATGCCCCCTCAGATACTCCTACCTTCTACTCCAAAAGGTGGCAGACAACGTCAACCCCAGATCTTGCCTTTTCTACCCCAGATATATCTGGAATGATAAGTAGAGAGGTGGGAGACCAGCTGGGGGCAGTGACCATCGCCCGACTTTTCTTACTGTCAAGAATGTATCAGTTAATACAGGCCCAGTCATCACAAGATGGACCTACAAGAAAGCCAACTGGGGCCTGTACAGACACAGGACAAGCACATTGTTGTCTGCTCTCAAGGTACAAAATAGGGATATCAATGCTATAGTGCACGATTTCAATAGAAGTATTCTACAAGCTGCAAAAGAAGCAATCCCCAGAGGCTGTCGACACAACTACAGACCGTACTGGTCCAGCACACTCCAGGAATGCCAGGAAACAATGAATCAGGCTAGAAAGGATGCAGAATCCCAACCTTCACCTGACAACCACATCAAATGGAAAAAGGCTGTAGCAGTGTTCCAGAGAACTAAACTTGAAGAAAAACGGAAAAGCTGGAGAAATAAAACAGCAGCTCTAAACCTTGATAAAGATGGCAAGAAACTCTGGAGATTAGCCAAATCACTCAATGAAGAGAGTTTCTCTCCTAGACAAACAATCACGCTAAGTGATGGTGACAAAATCCTTAGAGGAAAACAAGCTGCAGATTTGTTTTGCCAGAACATATAGTGTTGAAAGCAACCTGACCCTTAATGAGGACCATCAGAGAGAAATAAGGAAAGAAATACAAACAAATAAGAGACAGACAGATATTCCTGCCTCTATGAGGGAGCCATTTACCATGGGCGAACTACAAAATGCCATCTTTAGGCTTAAGTTAAAAAAAGTCTGCAGGTCCAGATGAAATCAGCAACGAAATGCTAACCAACCTGACCTCATCTGCTAAAGTAAAGCTGCTGGAAATTTTCAACATCAGCTGGGAGAAAGGTTTGGTGCCTCAAGTATGGAGAGAAGCCATCACAATACCCATTTTAAAAAAAGGAAAAATTAAGACACAGGCTTCGAGCTATCGCCCAATTAGTCTCACGAGCTGTGTAGGAAAGACATTGGAAAGAATTGTAAATTCAAGACTGAAATGGCACTTAGAATCTGAGCAGATCTTGGTGCCAGAGCAGGCTGGGTTTAGGGAATGTCACAGCATAGAAGACCAAGTCACCTACCTGTCACAAGCTGTAGAGGATGCCTTCCAAGAGAAGAAAAAGGTCCTGGCGGTATGGGTTGACTTCAAACAAGCTTTTGACAAAGTCTGGAAAGATGGTCTCATTGCAAAACTGAAGAGAAATGGAATCCAAGGAAACATGCTAAAATGGATCCAATCCTTCTTACACAGCAGGAGAACTAGAGTCAGTCTTGATGGCCAGCAGAGTCGAAAAGTGTTAATTCGGCAAGGAGTACCACAGGGAGGAGTTATCTCTCCAACTCTCTTTCTTGTGTATATAAATGATCTGGTGAAAGACCTCCCTACGGGAGTAAAAGCTGCCCTGTATGCAGATGATCTGGCACTTTGGTGTACCGATGAACACACCACAGTGGGCAAATATAAGAATGCAGCGAGCAGCAGATCTCTTGATGACATGGGCAGAAAAATGGCATGTTGCCATCAACACAGACAAAACATCCACAACGCTTTTCTCTCTTTCCCCCAGGGACAAAGCTGCTAGTATTCACCTAGGAACATCCTTGCTAAAGGAAGAAAGCTTCCCCACTTATCTTGGAGTAACATTTGATAAAAGGCTCACATGGAGCAAACATATAGAAAATGTAGAAAGGGAAGGCCAGGAGACGACTAGGCCTACTTAGAAAACTGGCAGGTACAGGATGGGGAGTGAATGGAAAAACCCTAAAGAAAGTTTATAATGGAGCGATAAGACCCCACTTGGAGTTTGGTGCAACAGCATGGTCAACAGCTGCTAATTCCCATCTACAATCGTTAGACAGAGTGCAAAATCAAGCTCTTAGACTCATCACAGGATCCATGAAAACTGCACCAATCCTGAAGATGCAGAAAATAACTGCAATGCAGACACTGTCCTATAGAAGAGACACTAAAACTATGATCCAGATGGAGAAGTTTAATAGTATGCAGTCACACCCAATGAATAAAAGGTTAGATGATCTGGCATTAGGGCGTCTCAAGCGTAGCAGCTTTGTCCATCGGGGGAAAAGACTTAGAAGACAGTATCAAGCTGATCTACCTATTAGAACAACACCGCTGAAACCTACCCTATACCCTGTACCTTGGGAGCAAGTCAGTGACACAATACAGATAATGACTTCAGTCAGTGGATTCACAACTGGAGATGAGTCCAATGATCTTCAAAAAACGAACAGCTGCTCTTAGCATGATTCATGAAAAACTATCCCGAACAGTCATGGATACATGTTTACACAGATGGATCAGCAACCAGTGCGGTTAAAAATGGGGGGGTGCTGGAGTCTTTATTACATACCCAGGCAACCACCGCCACACAAAGTGGATACCCACTGGTAAATTCTGTTCCAACTACACAGCAGAGATTGTAGCACTAGAGCAGGCTGCCGAAATGTTACACAACACCAGTTCTGACTGCCACCAAGTGGTTATATTCACAGATGCGCTTTCAGTGCTTCAAGCCCTCAAGAGTGGCAAACTCCCTCACTTGAGATCTGAACTTGGCAAGGTGGCTGCCCCAAAAGTGTACTGTACTCCAGTGGGTGCCATCCCACTGTGGTATACCAGGAAACGAAAAACCGCAGATAAACTTGCTAAAAAAGGGGGGCAGAATGTGATCAGGAAGAGAATGCAGTAACATACTATGAGAAGAAAAGGGCCATCCAGGCTATTAGAAGTGAACAGAGTCTGGCCAAAGATGACTACCACTTACTTGACCGGCATGGGCAGGTCATTGTCCTACGTCTCAGGACAGGACATAACAAACTTAACCAGCATATGCACAGGCTTCGTCTAAGTAGTTCACCTTTGTGCCCTTGTAGGCTATGTGTGCAGACTACAGAACATGTCCTGCAAGACTGTCCCTTGTTCGGCCCATTAAGAAAGGAACACTGGCCCAGTGAGTCATCACTGTACACTAAGTTGTATGGGACTAAAAATGAACTCATAAAAACAGTCAAGTTTATCACAAGAACCTGTCTGTCGGTGTAAATCAGAAAGCGAACACAAGAAGAAGAAGAAGAAGAATCCCCAGTACAGCACTAGCCATGTGGCCTAAAAAA